ACGGGCTAGGGGAGTGGGAAGGATGAGTGGGGGTGGCACACAGGGTTTGTGGAGCAATGGAACTACTCCAGGCGATACACCAATGCGGACACGTCCTTAAATGTTTGTTAGCAAGAGTGTACTCTAATGCCGACTGTGGGCTTCGTGATAATGAAGCCATCAATTCAGTGATTTTTTTAAAATAATTTGTTTATATATAATTTAAATTCTTTGTTTTTTTTACAAAGATTTATTTATTTACACATACAGGAATTGGGGTACAAGCTAGAGGTGTGGGGAGTGAGAAACAGAGTAGGGAACAGAACAGGGAGATTAATAGACATACACTGCTGAGGGGAGCAGTGGGGAGACAGGGAAGGTCTGCTGCGCCACATGGGTCACCTCTGGGGTGGGGATCGAACTCGCGCTGAAGTGGCCAGGACTTGGCTTAGCTTGGCAATGCAGTTCCAATCTGCTGTGCCACCATCTTTTTAAAGGCATCCTAAGTGTTTAGGTTAACATAATAAATGTATGCCCTGCTGCAGGGTGTTGTTGGGGAGGTGTGTGGGTGTGGGGAGGGAAATATAGGGGTGTCCATATTTCATTGAATTTTGCTGTGAACCTAAAACTTCTCTAAAAAGTCTATTTTTTTTTTTGAGTGGAGAAGAGATAAGTGGGGGACAAGGCAAGAAAGGAGGGGACACTCAGGAGACAGCCATGGACTGCTGGGAGGTGGGTGGGTAATAACTAGCTGAGGGCCCACTGGTGGCTGGTGCTTTCTGCACCAGCTTCCCAGCTTCGCAGGAGCCTGTGAAGAGAGTGGGCTTACTGAAATTCAATCCTGGGGGCCGGCTGAGGACAAGAGCAGCCTCAGGTCTCTGTCATTACTCTCTGAGATCAAATGGAACAGCCCGAGGAAAGGCCCTAGGGGGAGGCGGTGTAAGATTCTAGGAGACTTGACTCAGTAAAGAGGCTTCATCTTCCCTGAACCCCAGAAAGAGCCAAATCTGGCACTCAGTAGGAAAAGAAGAAACAGAATGAATGCTTTTTTGCCATGGAAAGAGGAAGAACTTAGCAAAACCCAGAGTAATATTTGCCATCTCTGATTGCACCCTGAGCTACCAGGGTGTTCACTTGTGGCTCCAGGGAGGTATTTTCCTAATCATCATAAAAACTAGCATATATCTTTTCATCTGTCTTTCCCTCAACTGGGTTCAGAAAGTCTTCTCCCAAACTCAAAAGGGAGAATTGCAGTCACTTTCTATCCCTTTGTTAATGAGGACAAGGTCAGTTTGTCTTTTTTTCTTCGGGGAACAATTTGTCAATTTATTGTGACAGCTAGAAGCATCTGAATAAAAAGATATTTATATTCCAGAACGAGTATGGAAAGAACACTTTGGCCACCATGTCAGCCATGGCTTATTCATTCACTTGACAATGTTTTTCTTAGCAGTTGTTGTGAGCCAGGCGCTCGCCTTGCCTTGGGACCACAGAGCTGAGTAAGACATGAGCTGTACCCTCTGGGAGCTCCCAGTGTGGTTAAGATCAAGACAAGCCAATAGAAAGTTCCAGTGTGATATGGCAAGAGTGATGAGGATGAGAAAGACCTGCACTCTCTGGGCTCTGGGAGGGCTCTGGGGCTTGGGAAGTGTTGATTTTGGGGATGCATTGTGGTATCTTCTTGGAGCATCTGGAGGGTTCTGCTGGTCCTCCCTGGGGAAATCTCCCTCTCCAGCCTCAGAGGAAGGCCTCTCGCTCTGCAATTCTGAACTGTCCATTGGGAGACTCATTCAATTCCTTCTGGATCTCTGGGTCTGAGATTCTAGATATTTCATTCCTTTTGGGTCAAAGGAGATTGGCTTTTAGATAGATCAGCAGAGCAGGAGACTGGCCTGTTCACTGGAGAGCTCTGTCCTGCTGGCCTCTGAGCCCAGGGATCCTGATGGGACTCGCAGCTGAACCAGGGCAACTCTCGGCTTCCCGTTTGGAAAAGAAGCCATAAGCAGGGAGACTTCCTCTCCAGCGGCCAGACAAGCTGTGTGTCGGGCTGCTGTTGGCATAAGGAACACAGCAAGTCTTTGTTAAGTATGCCTGAAATGCTGATAGGGACAAAGACTGTGGTCTGGTTGGGGTTCATGGGGATAAGACTTACAAAATGTCCTCGTTTGACATACCTGAAGGGACAAGGAAAAACACACACACACACACACAGAAGGCAGTTCCAACGCTGAACACTAAACCACATGCTAAAAGAAAACGTGACAAATGCCAGGCCTAAGTGAATACTGAGGAGAGTAACTCTCCATCGGACAAAGCAACTTCTCCCAAAATTGTACCAAGCAAGCAGATCCCCCAAAATAGGTGTTCATCTTAGGAAAGGGCAAACTTTGTTCTAATCACAGCAGAGTTCTGATAAATGGCTTACCAGGTGCTCACCCGGATTCCTGAGTTAGACTTTAAAAAAACGTCAAATTTTGTGAGTAAGAGCAAAAAAGAAGAATAAAGCTGTTGTGGGCTGGAAGGTCGCTGGGATCTTCCTTTCCTGGTCTCGGGCTCCTTGGGCTACGGGAAGAGCCTCACTTGAGCGTATTAAGAGATTAGTGTTGGTACAAATGCCTCAGGCTGGCTCCAGACTGGAAGGAGGAAGAGGAACTCCCTCACTTTGGGGAAAACAGAGTGTATTCAGAGTCTTTGCCAGTTCCAAAATGTAGCATGTGCGCTTACGGGCAAAATAATGATAGTAACTAAGTTAATCTGTTTAATACTCCCTGGGGGGCCATGTACCCCCCTAAACATGTTGTCTGCATTATCTCACTGCTAACAGCAAATGCTCTGAGGTAATGCTATGGCTGTTCTCATTTTACAGATGTGTAAACTAATGTGTAGAAAAGTTAAGCCACCGCTCTTGACACTGGAATGAGACCTGGTGCTCATGCCAGTGAGCGGAGACAGGAGTGGACTCTCTAAGCGTGGTTATTTTTCAGATCTCTGGCCAGGGATATGAGAGAACAGTGGGTATAGCACCCTGAAGAAACTATTCTGCCATCTCATCGCGAGCTGGCCTTTTATAACGGGTTAGACAAAGGCAGGCACATACAGCCCATCCGAGCAGCCCGCCACCGTGGATGCTCCTGGCATTCCTCATGTTCAGCCCCTGAAACCTTTTATCAGTCTCCTGGTTATCTTGACCCTGGTACGTGGATGGTGTCAACGGTCCCCACCCCCCCACCTTCGGGCATTATCAGGATTCTCCGTTTAAAGCAAGAGTTTTAGTTTAAAGAAATGAGATCATTAGTCATGCAGTGAGTAAGCAAAGCTTGTGTTGTGCGTGTGTGGATTCTTGTAGCCTGCCCTTCCTGCCCAGCCCTCTCGGTCTACCTGGAGTCGGTGATGTCCCTGGTAGGGAGCAGGGTCTGTAGGCCACCTGCCCACCCTCCACGATGACCAGTGCAGACCAGGAATTGGGTTTTTGTTTTGTTTTTGAACTGATTAAATTCAAATTAAGCCTGACATTTATTTATGTATTTTTTAAAGATTTATTTACCTATGCATATAAGAGCTGGGATGAAGGTGAGAGGTATGAGTAGTTGTGTGTGTGTGAGAGAGGATTTACCAGAGACAGAGTGGGAAGCAGAACAGGCAGATGGACTGAAATACACTGCTGAGGGGAGCAGCGGGGAGACAGGAGAGGTCTGCTGTGCTGTGTGGGTCAGCTCCCTGGCAGGGGATTGAACTCAGGCTGCAGTGGCTGGAGTAGCTTGATAGTGCTGAGATTTTAACTCCTGCACCACCAGGGAGGCCTAAAATTTAATGTATTAAAGCGTACAACCCAGTGGCTTCAGTACATTTGCCATAGTGTCTAACCACCCCCTCTACTTAGTTCCAAAACATTTTCATCACCCCAAAGAAAACCCAGTTACATGAAGTCAACCCCCAGCACCAGGCAAATGCCAATTTGCTTTTCTTGTCTGTGGCTTTATCTATTATACATATTTCATATGAACTGTATGACTCATCACACGAATCAGATATTTTGGGTCTGGCATCTCTCACCTCAAATGTTAAAACCTAGTTTTTTTTTGTTTTTTTTGTGGCTCATTCATGTTAGTCTGTATCATCTCTTTGTTCTTCTGTATAAATGAATAATATTCTGTCTGATTTTGAGTTCCAACAATCGGTCTCCCTTCCTTTTCAGGTGTCTGCTCAACACACACCCAATGAGAACCAAGTGATCACAGGGCAGGTGCTGAGGGGAAAGATGGAGAAGCACGTGATCCCTTCCAAAGCATGGATCTGGTAAGCGGGGCTGCCCCCATCCTGAGATGGTTGTAGGAACTACACTGCTGTGGAGGTGGACACAGAAGAAATTCTGTCAAGTGCCAAAGTGCGATAGTTATTTTCCTTTAGTGCTCTTTAAATCCTCTGATCACAGCAAAGAAAGAGACTCAGGTGGTCCTAGATGTTGCTAAATACCTCCCTTACACTCCCTGTTTAACAAAGACACAACCCTCCCTGGTGACACAGCGGGTTTAGGACCCAGCACTGCAAGCTGGCTGCAGCCGCCTCAATGCGAGTTCGATCCCCGCCCTGGAGGTGACCCACTTGGTGCAGCAGACCTCTCCTGACCCGCCCGCGGGTCCCCTCAGCAGTGTACTTCGTCGACCTGCCTTTCTGCTCCCCACTCTGCCTCTGGTGAAGCCTCTCACCGCCCCTGAGCCTCTGGCCTGTACCCCAGTTCTGTATGCATGAATAAATAAATCTTAAAAAAAATCACTAGTAACTAGGGAAATAATTACTAAGCTTCCCCACCGCCCGCCTAGATTAGTCGAGAAAAGTCCAAATGTCCCATTCCCACGTGCTTAGCGTCTCAGGAGTTACAATGGTAACGTCCCCTCCGTCAGGGAGCAGCGAGACGCTAACTCCCGGCACCCAGCCCACGGGCGGGAGGCGTGGCTCCGCTCGGCCCCGCCCCGCGTCCGCCGGCCGCGCTCCGTCATTGGCCCCGCCCCCGACGCCCCGCCCCCTCCTCTTCTCCGTCGGCCCCTCGGCTCCCGCGCGCACTGAAGATGGCGGCGGCGGCGGGAAGGTTACTCCGGGCTTCGGTGAGTGGCTGCGGGCTGGGCACAAGCACGGAGTCACCGTGGTCGCCCCGGAACGCGCTTCCCAGCCGGGGTCCCACGCCCCTGCGGCCTTTCGCTCTCCTAGGCGGGTGTCCGCGGGTAACGGACCGCAGGCCGGCTCGGGAGCGTTCCCCACGCCTGCGCAGAACTGCCCTTCCCCCATCCCTCTCGCTATCCCTGCGTCCCGGCCGGCGGGGGCCCGTTCCTCGGACGGGTGACTTTGCCTTTCCGAAGCTCATTTTCCTTTCCGAACCTTACGACAGAATGACGTCTAACAGGCGCTGCTGAGAGCATCCACCAAACGCTGGGTGGGAACCCACGTGGAAGCAACAAAAGTGATGACTTGCAGAAATCCCTTTCTCCTGCCCACCTCCTGGGTCTGACGCGCAGTTTCCTGCGTGCTACGCCTCCTACCCTCTTGCTTCTCACGCTCCCCTTTTCTCTTAGCGGTTCAACGGGGGCCCTTCTTGAGTAATGCTGAATACTACGGTTAGGCAAACATTTCCCTGGAGTCCTGTCCAGACTTTCCCAGAGACTGAACTTTGCTCTACTTGTGTGCTTGTCTGTGGGGCTGAAAAGGCCTTGTTTTCTAAAGGAAACCTTGACATTGTAGAAATTACGCAGGAGACCAGGCACTGAAGGTGTGACCAAGGCCCCTTGGTTTTTGAACCTTCTGTGTTGTTCTTAAGAGCATGGAATCTTAAAATTCCCTGCCACCTTGTAGTCTTTTTGCTTTTTAACATATCTTCTAAACAAAAATTGACGGTGTACAACACGATGATTTGGAACCCATATATGCAGTGAAGTGATTACTGAAGTAAAGCTAATTGACATGCCCACCTCGTTATCAGTTTTCGGTGTACATTTTCAGTGCTCCCTACAGTGTTAAGTGTAGTCCTCATGCAGACTTACTCACCTGCAGCTTTCTACCCTTTGACACTATCTCCCAATCACCTTGCCCCCTGCAAGCTAGAAAACAAGAAGGAAACTCTTAAGAATGGGGACACATAATTCCGTGCTTTCAGAGTTTAAGGTTTGGTACTTGGGTCACAGGAACGAGGACCCTGAGGATGACCTTTCCATGGGCGCAGCTTTCAGCCACCATTGTGTGACTTCTTAATATAAAGTGTTTCTCCTTGCAGGTTGCCCGACATCTGAGTGCCTTTCCTTGGGGCATTTCTGCCTCTGCCGCACTCAGGCCAGCTGTTTCTCCAAGACTGTGCTTGACCAGTGGATTGTGGTCTGGCTCCAATCAAGCAAAATTTGCCTTTAGCACCAGTAAGTGGCATTTGCCTTGGCTTGACCTGGATCATGAAAATAGGCGTCATTTCTGGACAGGGACTCTGAACGCCACCTGCACATTAGACTCACCTGGGAGCTTTTAAAACCATCCCCTGCTCCAGACTCGACAAATGAGGTCAATCTCTGGGGTGAGACCAGGTGGCTCTAATGTGCACCCTGGTTGGAGAATCAGAGGTGAAGTGTCCTTGGACCCCATCTGGTTGGTTGCTGTGTGGGAAGGGATGTTGGGTAACAGGGCTGAGACTAGCGCCTGTAAAGGCTTTCGCCCCACTTGTGAGCACACAGCAGCTCATTGGCTGCTGCGTGATCCACGTGAGGCATCGCTACTTCTCAAGATTTATGTCCCATTCGCCAGCATGTGGGCTTTGCTAAGATCAGCCTCAGATGAGTGGTATTTGGAAATGTCTATTTTAGAGTTGTCCCGCCCTTTAGAAAGCGTGTGATGGTTCCTGAATGCAGGTGCAAAGCCTTGTCTTGGGTGCACTGTCCTAAAATGGTTCAGTGTCACTGCCCTGGAGTCGAGAAACATTTCTAGCAGTGATGTGATGCCAGTGGGGTAAACTCTGCTTGTTTACACCCAGCCCACGCCCTCCCCCAGCGCTCCCCGAAGCCCAGGCATTCTGAGCTGGGAGCCCCTTCATCCCAGGGAGAAGCAAGTCCTTTCCGCTTCTGGTGCTGCTCTTGCAGCCCTGCCCTGCCCTTTCCCTCTACACCGCTCTCTGATAACTGACATCTGCTCCTGCCATCCCCTGCCAGACTTATCTGCCTGAGAACAGCCGACTCATCTTCCATTGCCTACGTGAAAACCTCCAGTGACTTCATTATCTCTCATTTTAAGAGCAGACTCAGGCTGATATATGAGGGCCTCTCAGCAGGACTGCCGGCCGTTCTTGCTTTGTCTCCCACACACGTACGCGGTTGGGATAAGCTGTGCCCTGGTCCTGCAGGGTGTTTGCCCCAAGCCATCTAGACTTGACAAAATCAAACCATATTTAGACTTCATCTCCGTTCTTATCTCTTCCTGAATTCCACCCGTACTATCTCTGTCTCTCTGTGGTTTCCATAGCACTTTAAATTGGATTTGTGTACATTCTAGACCTGCGAAAGGAAAAGAGTACCTGAGATGAAGCGTTGAGTGGAAACTTCTTTAGATTTATTTTATTTATGCATAGAAGGACTAGGGTCTAAGCCAGAGATGCAGGGATGAGAGGGTTCATCAGAGACGCTGAAATCCACTGCGGAGGGCAGCAGGGAGACCGCAGAGGCCTGCTGCGCCATGGGGGTCACCCCTTGGCCTGGGGTCGGATTCAGGCCATCATGGTGATAGCACTGAGACTTAACTCCTAGGCTAGCAGGGAGGCCCTGAGTTGAAACTGAACTAATTAATTTTATTACTCTGAGAGGTTTAAATAAAATCAAATAGGTGCTTGGGTACAGTGTTCTAAAGTTTCGCAATTTTATTACCCCTGTGCTGAAAAAACATTTCTGAGGATGATTTGAGGCAAATCAATACCAAGTCATATATGAGTGTTTTCTCCAGGTTCCTCGCGCCACACGCCAGCTGTCACTGAGCATGCGCCCTACTTTAAGGGTACGGCTGTTGTCAACGGAGAGTTCAAAGAGCTGAGCCTTGATGACTTTAAGGGGAAGTACTTGGTGCTCTTCTTTTACCCCTTGGATTTGTAAGTGTACTTCCTGTGGTGTTTGACTTCATTCTGAGAGCAAGCAAGGTCCTGTGTCCTTGCTGAAGTTGGCTCTGCTTTTCTTGGCCAGGGAAGGGCTCTCTGGACTGGGTCTCACTGGTGGCCTTACTGATTATGCAGCTCACATCTGTGGCCAGTTAACAAGCGATGATCTTGGGGGACGCGCGGGCCTTCTCTCTGGGGTAGGGTTTTACTGGGGTGCTATTTTGTAGACTCTGATCAGTGGCTCTTATCAACCGGTCTTGACGTTCTCATTGGTGTAGAGGAAATGAGAAAAGTAAAAATGAAGTGAATTTTCATATAAAGCTAATTTAGTTAAATACCATTTTTTCTTAGAATGAGTCCCCCGCCTATCCCCCTCACCCCAGTTTTTGGGCCTGGTTCTTAAGTAGAAAAGTGAGTCCAGTGAGGATGCTGAGCTGTTTCTCGCTTTTAAGAAAAAAGGACTGATTTTTAGACAGCCTGTTTTGATGAGATTTTTTGTCCTCTTCCCTAGCACCTTCGTGTGTCCTACAGAAATTGTTGCTTTCAGTGACAAAGCGAATGAATTTCATGACGTGAACTGTGAAGTTGTTGCAGTTTCAGTGGATTCCCACTTTTGCCATCTTGCCTGGATAAACACCCCAAGGAAGGTACAAATGTCGCTTCGCCTGCCTTTGTGTCCCCAAGCTTCCGATAGGGAGGTGCCCACAAAAGACCCACTGTGGGGTCTAGTCTGAAGTGGGTCTGCAGGTCCTCACCCCCGGCAGGTTCTCTTCGGCTCTTCGTCTGTTGCAGGACGTCACGTGCACAGCTCTTCCTCACCACATTTGTATTCTCCAGAGTGCGAATGGTCACACAGAGCAGAGTGGGCTCGGCTGGGAAGGGGGCAGTGTCGCCTCTTCCCTCATCTGTACCCGACCCCCCCCCCCACCCTACTGGCTTGCGGGACGGGCGTTAGGCCCCTGACTCCACCGCTCAGCATGCTGTACCCTTGCCGAAAGACGCGCTTGGGAGAGTCAGAGCTTCCCACTGCTGCTGGGCTGCCAACCCGATTATCCAGAGCATCTCTCCTTACTGTTCCTCCATTTTTATGTCTCAGAAACTAGTGTTCAACCAAGGGAATACTTTAAGAAGTAGAAAAGGAAAGGGCTGTTGTGTTGGTTGGATTTAATCCTCCCTCTGTCTCTGGCTGGCTGGAGCGAGTGACCTAACCTTTGTGTGCCTCAGTTTCCTCATCTGTCAGATGATGGCCATTCTGGCATCCATTCCACGATGGCTGGGGCGGGGCGGTCCACAGAAAGTGCTTGGCCTGGCTACCCCCGCTTACTCCACTGAGGTGGTCTGGAGCAGCTGCCCAGCCCAGCTGGCTGGAGGCTGCCGCCTGACATCCAGTCACGTTTGTGTCCTTAGGACGGCGGTTTGGGCCACATGAACATCGCGCTCCTGTCCGATCTGACTAAGCAAATTTCCCGAGACTACGGTGTGCTGCTGGAGGGTCCTGGTCTGGCCCTGAGGTAACATCCCTTCCTGTGGGCTTAAAATTGGTTTTGGGCTTAGCGTCATCATAACTTAGGAGATTTACCAAGACTTTGGTTTACAGCATTTTGGAGCCAAAATCCTTCGTGTTAGTCCTTTCATGAGAATGACCTGGGAGGGTGGCAGCTCTCCGAGAGACTGCGCTGCTTTGTCTCCCACCACCTGTGTCTCGATGGCCCCACCGCGTCACGCCCCCAGCCACCTGGAAGTGAGGGGCACCTGCTTTATTTGGAGAAGGCGGGATTCCGCATCTGGGATGGCCCGATCTGAGGACTCCCATGGGCTTGGCTTGGGTTGATTTTTCACTTACACCTGTGTGACTCTTGGCAAGTTGTTTAGTTTCTTCAAGCCTCAGGGCTCCCTAACTGAAAAGAGAGTGTCTCTCCCAGGTTGGTAGTGGGAATTAAATACGGGGAGACAGCCAGACAGCCGAGGTTTCAGCACAGGTCCCGACAGCTGTGACCTCTGACTCAGAGTGTCACTTCCGTGGTGAGACCTTTATTCCTTTGAGTGTCCAAGCTCTGTCTTCAGCAGCCCCGTGTGCAGAGTGGGGCTCCCCAACCCCGATGGTGGGGCACTCTTTGGAGCTTGGGCATTTTGGCCCCAATATTAATTACTGCCTCCCTTTAATAAGCTGCAGGCTAACTTAACAGTTGGCAAGTGGAGGAGAGCGCTGGCCGCCCCACCTGCCAGCACCCTGCCCTGCGCACGAGGTCACTCCGTACTGGCCTCAGCTGTGACCAGGGAGACGTGCTGAGGCCGGCTGGTGAGGAGGCCTGCTTAAGGGCCGGCCTCCAGCGTAGCTGCGTGTCTACACAGTGGACTCCAGCTTGTCTCATCCTCAGAGCCAGTGAAGCCTCAGAGTCTAGACCCCGAAGGGCCAGCCCAGGAAGGGAGGGCACCTGTTCACTTGTGCATTTTCTCTGACTTGCCTGTCCCACAAGTGACACAGGAATGTTCTGGAATGTTACGCCCCTTCGGGTGGATTGTTGAACCGGGGTTGCTGTGCTGGCGTGTGTCAGGGCTGCTCGGCACTCGCACGAGGTTGGCACAGACCTAGTGGTCATGCCGTGCATCGCTGTGATGGGAGAAGGAGTGACGGGCTGGGTTTTTCCTTCAGAGTCCACTGTGGACTCCAGAGTCCAGACTTAGGACACCACCTTCTTTCTGCCAAGATTTTTTTCCCTATCTACCCTAAAATTTACTGATTTCCTGTTTCTTGAGTATAGAATATACACCTCTGTCCTTTCCCATTTGCCTGCAGTTTTTTTTTTTTTTTTTAAGATTTACTTATTTCTGCATACAGAACTGGGGTACAGGCCAGGCCAGAGGTGCCAGGGGGGGTGAAAGGACTCACCAGAGACAAAGTGAGGAGCAGAACAGGCAGATCGATTGAAAGACACTGCTGAGGGGAGCAGCGGGGAGACAGGAGAGCTTTGGGGAGACAGGAGAGCTTTGCGGCACCCTGTGGGCCACCTCCAGGGCAGGGATCGAACTCAAGCTGAAGCTGCTGTGGCCAGCACCAAAGTGCTGTGCTTTAACCCTATGCGCCACTGGGGAGGTTTAAAAGCCCCATTTTTGAGCCTGTGAACACTTCATTAACGTGTGTTAAGAAGGATCAAGAGGGTAGAGTAAGACTTTTTCTAGTTCAGGTAGAGTTGTGATACTAACAAGGGTAAATTCTGCTGCAGAGGTCTCTTCATAATCGACCCCAATGGAGTCATCAAACACTTGAGTGTCAATGATCTCCCGGTGGGCCGGAGCGTGGAAGAAACCCTCCGCTTGGTGAAGGCCTTCCAATTCGTGGAGGCCCATGGAGAAGTCTGCCCCGCAAACTGGACACCGGATTCTCCTACGGTAGGTTTCTTTCCAAGAGGTTTTTTCCCGAGGTCTTTGCTGCCTCATGGACTGCTGGCCTGGGATATATATCTACAGAAGGATCCCAGCTTGGAGCAAGGCTGCAGATGGTTTATAAATGGGTGAAGGTGCTGAGGGGTGGGGAGGAGGTGTGGGAGGGGGACAGGCAAGCTGTCAGTGCAACTTTAATTTATGTATTTAAAAGGGAGCAGGGCTGGGTGTGCTCAGAGCAGGGGGCCCGAAGAAATGGCCCTCTGTTTACAACACACCCAACAGGGATCTGGGTCAGTGACAAGGGCTGGAGACTTGTGGCCCTTCTGTGAACAAGTACCCTACATGTGAAAGAGAAATCAAGGAAACAGATTTAAGTGAGAATCTTAGGGTAAAAATGGAGCACTTTTCAGCTCTTTTCAGACTTGTATTATGCCAATTACCCAGTTAAATGTTTCTGTTTTCAGATCAAGCCTCATCCGACTGCTTCCAAGGAATACTTTGAGAAGGTGCATCCGTAGTGATCCCACGTACACCTGCGGCTTCTCCTGCCAGGAAGGAACCACAGTGGGAACTCCCTGTTAGCATTTCAGAGATTAGTTAGGGAGGGCAGCAAGCCTTATGCCTGTATCCATAGCTATCAGTGTGTTTTGTTAATACTAGCGAAGGCTTTTTAAGTGCGGCGACTGTGTGGTTACCCTCTTCTGGCATCCTCGATGACTGGCTCGTGTGTGGAACGCCTGGTTCTCCTGTTCTTGGATCATGTCTTCAGCGAGAACAGCAAGCTCTTCTTTCTTCACCTTGCTTGAACCTTTGCATACAGCAGAGTAGTACAACAAGCATTGAAACTTCTGATCAAGGGTCCTGAAAATTTCTTCTTGAATTTCTTTGTATTAAACTGAGTTTTCTTTTATGGCAAGAGATCGTTTAAGCTGTTAGCCTCAGTAGTCTGATAGAACTTTTGCAGTGTGTGTATATGTATGTGTGATGGAAACAAATGTGAATCATGTTTCTGAAAAAACACGGTGGCAAAGTGACTTAACTGATCATGCATGTCCCCATCCCTAAGATTTATAGTTTACAGTTATTTTACTTGTTTTGTTTGCTGGCTTAGTCTCTACATACATTTCTAAATACTAAGTGGGTGTAATTACAAGAGATATTTATTAAATCCAGGGGTTACATTTTGAAATCACTCTAATTATTTTTTCTGAAGTGCTTGATGTAAAGTATATCATAAATAAACATATTTTAAAATATTCACATTTTTAACATCATTAATTGTTAGGTTAGCTTATGTTGTGGAGTGCTAAATTTCCTTTCCAATTGTGTTAGCAAACACTTATCTAGCATTTAACTCGGACCATGGAAAATAAGCTGACTTCTACTGCCAAGGAACTGTGTGGAGGAGACAAGTGAGATACGGGAGCATTTATTTCAATAAACTGAGTACCTAGCATATGCCAGGTGCTGTTTCAGAGGTGCAGAGTGAACAAAAAAGACAAGCCCTTTCGTCCACTCACATACCTGAGAGACGTGGAGCAAGGGGCTAGGGGGTAGAGCTGAGTGCCTTGCGTCAGCCCCTCCAGATCTTTCTCTTCTAAAATGAGGACAGTGGGGCCTCCCCGTGCCAGGGATTAAGGCAGCCCAATCACCTCTGCAGCCAGCTCAGCCCTTTCTGGCAGCCGCCCGCCTGTGCCCTGTCTCCCGCTCCTCCCCTCAGCGGTGTATTCCAGTCAGCCCACCTATTTTGCTCCTCACTGGTGGCTCCTCACTCCCTCACCCCCACTTCTGGCCTATGCCCCAGTTCTTGTATGTGTAAATTATTTTTTAATAGTCCCTATTTGATCTGCTTTCAACAGAACAAAGTGGACTTGCCCCATCGAGGAGAAAGGCTATTCGGATTCAGAAATTAGTTAGCTCCTGGGCTTGATTTAGTGCTCTGAAGTGGAATTTTTAAAATTCCATCTTTTAAGGACACATTTTCAATGATCTTTCGCTGAGTTATGCCGGTTCTGACTTTCATCACCACCGTGTATACTGGGTGTCTGGGGCGGCTGTCGGGGTTTTGGAGGCTACTGCCCCGAACTTGGGGTGCACCTGTACTCCAGGTTAGATGAGGTGCTGGCAGCCTGGCGCGTGGAGTGCCCAAGACGCCGTCTTGGCAGTAGGTACTGTGATACCGGGCCTGTGACCCCTCCAGGCCGCAAGCAACCAGATTATGAGGCAACCGGCGTGGGGAGAGGTGGGCTGGGCGCGCCGGAGGGGCGCCGCGGGCGCGCTGGGCTGCGG